TTTTTGAATTTTATTATTATCTAGGTTATTCTGGGTTGTTCTATGTTTGTTCTACATTGTTCCAAAGTATTATTTGAAAAAACTAAAATTTGAAGCTGCCAGACAAGAAAAACACACACAGAGGTATACATATATCTAGTTTTTCTTAATTATCTTCATAAATTATCTTGAACTGTCATTAATTAAGTAATGGGAACGTGTAAGCATATAAGCATAAGTATAAGCATTCAATATCTAGGTCGTCACGGCCAATACGGAATTTTTTGTTAGTAAATCGTACAATTTGTTTTATTATTGAATTGCATTTTGCTTTTTTATAGATCACCCCAATAAACTTTATGATTCCATCTCACTTGATAAGTAGAGTCACGCACAGTAATTGATGCGGGAGTACGTTCTAATTGCATTTAATTTCTTCCACTACTTAAAGGCCATTTACAGTATTAGGTATTAAATTAAATTCTCAAACTTACCCTATAAACAAAGCGTTGTAATGAACGTCTTTAATGTATGACTAAAGACAACTTTAATAAGCTTACCTCATTTTGATGTGTTTCTAAACATAAACTTAAATTTACGGCCCCAGTCACTCGCGTACAAGCTAACTCTATCAGTGGGACTGTGTGCGTGAAAAACATTTGTGGGTCATTATACGAAGTACAAAAAAAACTGTTCATTGGTGATGTTTAACTATTTATAAGTTATTTCAAAAGCTGAAAAAATCTATTTAGTACATTATTGTGACTATTTACCAAAAACATAACAAATTCAACCATACCTTATCTGCTAATTTGTAAAAAATTCAAAATAGAAGCGTGGTCATACTCCGTGAACTGTTCTAAACACATTTTTCGTCAGAAAAACTGGGAAAAAAGTTATATTACACACTTGAATTAAAACGAACTCACAGTATCTGTTTTCACACATCCCAATAAACATCAGAACATAATAGTTTATTTTTTCTTATTAATATATTAAAATTTATAGCCATTATACAGGTGTTATAAAAATTTAAATCAATAACGTGAACTACTATTTTCACCCAACAAAAAATTTTAGAGAACTGAATTACTGCTCTTATTACCTGGTTACACTGCTTTTTGCTGTTAGTTCAGTTGTGTGTACTAACCAACAGGGAGGTTATGTACTGTGAAGTTTTGTTAAAAAAATATATGTAATATACGTTTCTGGTAAAGTTTGTTCCGTCAGTTCGGTTAGGGATTTTTTTTATATGTAGTAACGTATTTACTTTGCCACCATAGCTCATAATTAATGCCATGGGGACTTAATTCGGTTGTAGTTATAAATTAATATGTAACTTTTAAAACCACGACGTAGCATGATTTTAAAAATGATTCGTCAATCCTGTGATCGTCATTACTGAGAACTTGTTGTTCACAGAACTTTTATTTTTTCGATGTTTAATACAAACACTTTTGTATGGCATTATTCAGAGTCTGGTCATGGAAAAGGACCCCAGACGGTGTAGGTGGCTACTTAAAAAGACATAATGACCGACGAGTGGTTTTGGGGAATGACATTCCAGACCATCAAACTTTGATATTATTTTTTGAAAAAAATGGAAAATCACCTTTGGAAAAAAATGACCTCTTGGTAAGGTTAATGGCAATAAATGATATATGTATTATTAGGGCAATAGAGAACATCTTCTTTTTCAGAATAGCTTTACAAAACCTATCAAGGCACGATGAAAGTTCATCAAATTGTTTAGGCAAAAGAAAACCCAGATTATCTTCAAGCCAAGCGACTGAGTTGTTTGGAATGTCATTCAGACATCACTTGTCGTCATTTTAGGCTGGAAAAAATGTAAGCACCAATACAATTATTTACATGCAACACAGAAAATGAGCCCCCTATACCATCATGCTCTAAATTACGTGTCGATGAAATTTATTCTAATATGTAAAACAAAATTAGGCCTCTGAGACAAAACAGGGTAAATTTTTTGGCTGTTGAATATACCCAGAACATTATAATAAGAGAATTCGCACATTTTTATCATATAATGACTTCAGTGATTCTTATAATTTAGTATCACAGAAATGATGTTCCTACTAATTATCATTTCCGTGGACATGAATGTTTGATTTTTTTTATTGTCTTTTAAAATTATTAATCAAAATAATGTTTCATAATTTATGTTATCTTGGTTTAATGGTTTTCGGTAGAACATTTATTATTATCATAACTGTATTAATTCTTAAGTTATGATCACTTAGATCATTTCAGTGAAAACGTGCGTCAATTCTGTGAGACTTAAAAAATGATTTTTCATGTTTTTACGTATTAAACGTAATGAGATTCTGTTTTATGTTGTGATTACGGTATTTCATTATATTTTGCGAAAATAAATGTTTGAAATCCAAAAAATCCTCACTTTAATTTTTGTGATTTAAAAAAGGCCATTTCGTATAATGACCCTTGTACGATGACTGGATGGGGTGTTTTGCCAAATGCTTTATTTGGAATATTCGTCTGATACTTGCTATACACATGGCTAATCGTATTTGTTTTGCGTACATTTGACCGCGGTATATCTTTAGGCTGAACGCGGAAAGCGCAGGACCGTTGTGTGCGGAAATTTCAAGAGAAATCCTTTGTTCTGACGGTGATGATATCCTTATCATGCTATTCAGGGGCTTAGACTGCTTGAACAGGAAAGGGTCGGACACTGTGGCATTGGACCAATCGTACCCATCCCATGCTGCAAGGTTGGATAAGATAACGATACCTTCGTTCACATAACGAATACTGGGTTGGACTTGCAGACATGCCACGGAAAAAGTAGAAATGCCATACTCAAGGTAGACACGGCTAGCAAGCCACTAAATAAATACAGAACAAAGAAAAAATAAGTAATGCAATGCATTAACCGGTAACTTAGCGGGACATACTTTGAATTGAATCCTGAGCATCCTCACAGGACATGGACACATTAATAAACATCTTTTTGACTAGGTGTCTCGGACAGTCTGCACAAGGCAGTTTGCAGGACACGAGTACACACGTCCTTACTACAATGCAAAGGCGTAGCCATACAATGTTTGACAAAACTGGGTAGTCTGCAGACGCTACTCGAGAACTGCAGAGATAACAAGGGACTGAGCTTCTTTAGGGAGCTGGGAATCCCAGTGGAATGGCAATGACTTCACGCAAAATAGGTACTAAGTATCAAATTAAAAATGCGGAAAATATACGCCGTAAAGATGATGAAGAAGAAGATGCTATCTATATAGGGATTAAAAAGGAGAATACGACACGTCTATGTGAAGTGCTGGTATACTAATATTTATGGAGCATATTCCTAAAAGTAAAATTTGAAATGCGTAGAGTTCACTAGAAAGACTTGAGGTTAATTAGGTGTTCTTTGTTAACAACGCACCGATTATAAAATAAGGAAACTTCACTGCGACGAAACAAGACATAAATAAGTATACATATTCAAATCATTATAATTAAACCGTAATTGTCTTATTAATCATCTAATCTGGTGTGGAATTATTAGAGTATTTTATCAATTAACTGATTAGCGCTCGCAGTAAAAACTTGTTTGTGTGCAGTAGTTGTTGATTGGTTGCTGCCCACGCGCACACCGCGTAAGGCCAGATGACACAATCTCGGTTTATATCACAGAACCATTGTCATAATTTTACGGATGGACACCATCAGCCAACTAATGCTATCTACTATGCTATAGAATAATTGATTACCATAATAAAGTTGGTAAAAACACGGCGGCGGCGGTGTCCGGCTAGTTTTCAATGACGACCGACTATTAACGAAAAAGTTAACCAAAATTTGAATATTATAATATTATTTCCAAACAAGTCGAGAGCAAACATTTATATCGTACAAGTAATATATGTTATTTCAAAAAATGAGTTAATTTAATAGTTTGTTAATTTTTGAAAATTCTAGATTAAAAAACAACTTTCCACTATCGCAAACTAGGCGTGCGTGCTATGCAATCTACACTACAGCATTTTTCTAATTATTACATTATTTTATTTCACAATGTAGAAATATGAATAACGAAATATTTCTCAGCTGTAGTGAGTATCAGTATAATTACGACAGTTGTACGGGTAAGTATAACGCACGTACACACTCACATGCGCCCGCGCACTCCGCACCGCCGCGCCTTTCGGTGAAACTCGTAAATTCGCAATTTCCACGCCTTACCTAACACACGCAGATCTATGCATGATTCACATTATCCCCGTATATCAAGAAGATGTCGAATGGTATCTTCAAATATTTAATTTCGCCAAGCATTACTTATCTGCGCTCGCGAAGCTGTTACCGTTTGCAGTAACCAGTCATAGGATGGGTGATCAAAAATTTACTATTCTGAGCTCGTCTTTGCTTCGAAAGGCTTGTTCAGCCTTTGTCCCGGCTGCATCAGAAGTCATACTGGGCCAGCGTGGAAGTCATATCCCTTTCTTCCTATTTTAAGAGAAGCGGATTATCCACTCAAATTGGAGCACCCGTCTGGGGAAGCAACCTCAGTCTTACAGAAGACCACAGTAGAATGAATATCTCTACCTTTTGGTGGTGTTGTGTTTCTGCTGGTAAGTAGGGCTTCATTCTATCTATCTTCGCGACTGAACTTCACTAACAGTTACCTATGGGGTAATTTGTTGCACCTCGTATAAAAAAAACAGTCCATTGGGAAGGCCTGGTGCCCCACAGTTAATTAGTGAATTTTTTGCTCTAATTGTAGCATTCACAGGAGGAAGTAATACAAGAAATCTTACGGAAGACTGTTGTCAAATAACATTATTATACTGAAATAGTCTTGCAGTGAGTAAGGTTTAAAAACAAAAGACAATCCATAAGGGAGGCGATGGGGGTCAGAGTAGACAACGTGGTAGTTATACTATACCTAGTATCGCAAACGTCTACAGACATACTATCAGACGGGCCATACACTTGTCTGCGCTTTCAACATTCATCCGCTCTGATAACATAATACATACCGATGGTCTTGTTGATCCAGTCCGCCAGGTCCTCCTGCAGCGGGAACAGCTGGCGGGCCTGGGAGTACAGGATCTTCTCCCGGTAGAAGTCCTCGTCATCGTCGCAGGGCGTCTGTGCGGCCAGCGCGCAGTCCGCTCTTTCGAAGCTGCTGCTCATTTTCCTAAGGGGAAAGTGATCCAAATTAGGCTTTACAAAATTTTAAAGATTTTATCTTTTCTAGATTTACCCCTTAAGTGACGTGTTCCTGAAATGAAATACAATTGAGTAAAATGAACCTTAAAACAGACTACAACCCTGTGTAGTAACTATCTTTTGGGTCGGGTAAGTCAATTAAGTTAAGAAAGCTTATTATAAAGTGTCTGATTATATTACAGATAAAAATACTTGGTTTTGAACTGTTCCAATCATTCCAAAGGGTATTTCTATATGATAAATATTATGAATCATGTGTTGACGAAACTTTTATTGAATTTAAAAGCTGTATTTAAAGTTGATTACTTAAGGAAAAAGGAAGAATATCAGACTATTTAAGAACATTTAAATGACAAAACGGCATGATTTCTCCCTTGTTTTTGCTTTGTAACTGCCCTTACTCCTTTTGATATTTAAGATGTAAATATCAAGCTATACCTAATATAAATAACCCTATTTGTATTTATACTGTATGACACAGAAATGCAGGTGAACAATTTTATTAATTTATAATTTCACATTATGTAATGAAAGGTGACTTCATGAATCATCTCTGAAGTCATTTTTCAACTTAAAGACTCTGTAAATCATAGAACAGGGAGAAAAAACAGCCCTTGCTGTGTTTCTTTCCGGTTCTTCTCAGTACAAGGTCTCCCGCCGTAGATTTACGAACCGATGGCGAGACATTCATGAGTGCTTATAACAGCCTAAACTGAATAAATAATTTTGTTTATGGTTATGAATTCGAGCAATTCCTAGGGCCGGCCGACATCAGCACGCAGGAGCTCGAGTAAATAAATTATTGGTCACCCATCCAATGACCGACTATTGCCATGCCAAGTTGTCAAACTTCCACGATCTCAAGCCAAATGTGCTATCTACCTGCGCAATCGAGATCCCAAATGTACCATTAAGACTAAGTATTCAAGTGTTCACCAACCTGTTGACAACGACATCCTGGTGTCCGATAAGTCTCTCCTCTTTCTTGTCGTCCTTCTCCTGGAAGGTGTTGCGGACGTACTCAAAGGCGGTGGTGCGCTCGAAGGCGTTGAAGATGCGGTCGTAGTTGCCGCTGAGCGGGCGCTCGTACTCGGGCCCCGGCCCCGGCGTAGACACGGGGCCCCACGACGTGCGGCTGCCGAGTGCGGTTGGCCCACAGCGGTAAAATGCCATGACAACCACCCTGGAACAATATACAAATGAGACATCATTAATATTGTACCATTATAATTTGCCTGTTGATTGCTCTCAGTGATCCCCATCAAGAAAGAACACAGGCCTAAGAACGAACTTTGACATATCCGTAATTGTTATTGTATCGTCGTCGTCTTTATATGGAAGGAGTCAGTTTGTACTAATGTCCGGTAGGGGTTTTGCTTAGTTTTCATAGAAACTTTGACGTTACGATACGATTATGGAGTTGTCAAAGTTCGCATTTGGGCCTGTGATCTTTCGTATGAAAGCAGGAGTATTGCGTTTTGGTGAGTGCTACCAACTGTACAGTCGTTGCCCAGCCATTGAATAAGTCGCTTGCAGATCTTACACGAAAAGCACTGGATGATTTAGCTAGATTTTTTTTTCTAAATAAAGCAATTACGATAGAAGGAAGAAAACGATAATTATCTAGATAAAGCAATTACGACAGAAGAAAGATAACGATAGAAAGAAAAGAAACGATAATTCTAATAAATAACAAATAGACAAGCTATTCCTTGATTCACTTGAGTGCGATTAAGTTAGTCAATATAGCGCGTCAGATCAAATAAAAAAAAAGGTAAATTTAAAAAATCAAAAAACCCGACTGCTTAATTATACTTCAAATAAAAACTGAAAAGAAAAAAACAAGTCCAGTAGTCTATAATTCTGTTAATAAGGAACAAAGCTACTTTAACAGTCGGGACCCATTAGATATTCAAGAATACATAATATTTTTCAACAGTGGGTCCCGACTGTTAAAGTAGCTTTGTTCCTTATTAACAGAATTATAGACTACTGGACTTGTTTTTTTCTTTTCAGTTTTTATTTGAAGTATAATTAAGCAGTCGGGTTTTTTGATTTTTTTAAATTTACCTTTTTTATTTCACACTTTTTAGTTAGTTAGTATTTTAAGACGGTATATACCGTAGTCTTGTTACTTCAGTAAGGGAATTAATATCGCGGGAATTATTAAGTACCTTAAGACAGTCTAAAAATGAATCTAATGATACCGCATACATATTTTTTTAAAGGGAAATTTAGAAAAAATATTATTATGTCTTTATCCCGTGGGACTTTTAGGATAAAATGTATCCTATGACACTCCCGTAATCAAGACAAATCTAACGATACCTCATACATCAAAATCCATCAAGCCGTTTAGGCTACAGGAGGTCACAAAGGAACAGACATACATACATACTTACATACACTCCCTAAACATTACCCTCCCTCTTTGGCAGTCGGGTAAAAAAAAATAGCGTATAATCGTTCTCATTCCACCTTGGAATGTAATTAAGAACCATTTTTTTTTTTTATAATTTCATATTTAAATATGAAATTAGGATAATCATTCTATACCTCAAATATACTCTAAAATAATAAAAAAGCAAAAAGGAATTTGCAGTTTAGGTATTGAAATTATTCTCAACAATATTGCTCTTATCGATTTAAAACAAAATTCGTCGAGTCTCAGTCAGAGTAAATAATGAGATTTTTCGTTATAATGAACATGTTGACGTCTCCACTTTTTTATGTGCTTATCTTACATTATTGTAAACGAGTATGTCTGAATAAGCCACATTATATCCATTTATTATGTATGACACAGATCATATTATGAGCAGTGCATTTGGAGGCATTTGTAATTTCAATTACCATAAAGTTATATGTTAATAGTTTTTTACGAGCCATAATGACATCACTGGGTCCATTCCACTAATTGGTCGCGTAGTAATTTCGTTGGATCGGTGACCTTCGAGACGAATTGGGTTTCAGTCAGAAACTAATTTGCATATCTATAGTGTCTCTACCTACAAAGGGTTTCGCTGTTAAAGTCTCCTTTAAAACTCATCAAAACTAATGAAGAAGATGATGGTTTGACGGCTGTAATTATAACACAAAGCCGGCAGTGTGTCATGGGCGTGTACTGTGTGACAGAACAACCATTTAAAGTCATTAAAATGAACGTTATCGTTTGCTAAATTATAACAGTGACGAGAATAATAAGGCACGTTCTTTAAATTTGGTTTTGACTATACGTATTGACGTAGAACACGTATTTTTGTGAAGTACATACATAGTTGGAGCAATTGAAAGGTCTCATCTTTATTAATTGTGCAAAAAAAAATTGAAAAAAAACAGATTTACCAAAATATACACTGGTTAGTGTAGTAGTCAGAATTTGTACAAGCTGATAAAAGGATAAATATTTAAAGGTAGTGTATTTCTTTTCCAAGTTTATTACCACATAATCTAGACTATTTTTAAAATGTTGAGTTTGAGTGAAACCGACATGGGAACTGCAATCTTGGCTCGTATCATGGGTGTCCTAGGCCGGGCTAGGTTTATGGCTGGCGGGTCGTGGCGGCGAGACGGCACATCAAGGGATGCCCTTACACGGTGAGCACGTGACACGACCGCGACCCGTTACCAAGTTACAACGATCTATACGCATGCAGAAGGTTATATCGAGATTGAGACAATTTTCCATACTCCATACTACAATTTGGTTATGACGATTTTTATGTAGGTTGATAATATCAAGAAGTTATAAGTAACTCTCTTCTTCTAATAGTTAATTGACGTATAAGAAGAGCTTATTTCAGCTAAACATTGCCAGTTGAGCACTAACGATCCATAATCCAGATAGTTAAGTTGATACTGATTAGCTTGTGCGATTATTCATGTATGATTACTTCCTAAATGTTGCTAATTACATGTATGTTTCCTTCTTTTCCTTCCTTCGAGTAGAAACTATTTTTTTAAACATAAGGTTATTTAGTAATAAAATTGTAAGCACCTATCAAACTAAACCTTTGAAATTGCGCTTTGAAATTATTATAATAGTAGTTAATAGGTATATTTATATGTATAACTGTCTCACACAGAACATAGAAACCCCTTTTTACTAAATTCTTCGGTTTCACACCTTTGAATCTCTGCTAAACTCTAAAAAGTTCATCATCATCATTAGCCTATTATTGTCCCCATTGCTGGGGTGCAGGCCTTCCCTATGGATGGAGTAGGGAGATTGGGCCATGACCCATCACGCGAGCCCAGAGCGGCTTTGTGGGTGCTAATGACTGTAGATGCAGCCGGGACCAACGGCTTAACGTGCCGTCCGAAGCACGGAGGAGCTAGAGATAGTAAATTTTTGATGACCCATCCAATGACCGATAACTGCGAGAATTACTTAACTTTAACGATCGCAGCCGAACGCGTTAAGCACTTGCGCCTTAGAGATCCTCAAGCTCCAAGAACTTCTCATAAAGTTCAGATTAGAATTTTATGTATTCCTCATTTATTATGAAATGCCTCAAAAAGTGAAGATTCTCAATTCAGTTGCTATTTTTCGTATTTATTTACTGGCTGCAATTATTTCATACCTATAGTAAAAAGCATTTTTTCTTAGGCCAAAAGGTCGCAAATGTACCTTCTTTGTGTATGTTTTGAGTGTTGTCACAGTCGTGTCGGATCCAGGTATGATTTTGCCGCACGAACTTGCTGAATGCCGCATTCGACGCGGTCTGAGGAGAGCTCACGTCTGGTGTACTCTTACATATAGGCCTACATACACACCTCACTACTTTACGTAATATAGGTTTGTTCATTTCGAATGAAGTAAACACGTGACGTAACGAAATAGGTAAGACAGTTTCAGAGATTTATTTGTTACAAGCGTGTGTCCGTTTATTGATACTTTGCCACTGTTAGGATATGAATGACTTATCATATAAAAGCAAAGACGGACGAAATACAAGAAAATCTACGAGACTATAGGGTGACAACAATCTTCTGAAGTATTTGTTATAGTCCTACCAGTATGGTAATTTAAATCATATTATGTTTCAGACAGTATCAACAATAGTCGTTTGTATGCGACGAAGCTTATAAAACACCTAGGTACCTATCTGTTATATAATTGTCACGCCATCGCATGCTGTTATTCCAGTGTGGGATGGTTAGCAAAGCGTTAAAAGTGATATAAAATGACAGGTAATTAAAGTATCTAACTATCTCGCATAAAATAAATTATTATTGATTTTGAATTAGCTACAAAAATTAGTGACTATCAAACGGATTGTTATCCTCTTCAATATTATTGGTTCTGTAAACATATCGATCGACGACTACTTTAATATAATCAGGTAACAGCAACAGGTAGATGCGAGTCGCATCATGCGATACGGCATCGGCAGTGGGACAACCAGGCACGGCCCGACGCGGAAACAATACCAAAATCGATACCACCCACAATTGGGACAGCGTTTTGCATGATTACCTCTAAGAAAACTCAAGGGATTACCATCCGTAATCTTTTAGGTTGAGAGTCTAAAGTGGATTGGTGCGTGAGGAACAACGGGACCGCACGCGATCTGCATTCGCGGTTTTCCCGAAGACTTGGTGTGACAACTCGGCCCGTGTTAGGTCGACGGCTGCGGTTTTATACTTACTTATCGACTGCTCCACTTTCTATAAAGAGGAGCAGCCGCGGAGTATGCGTAGGTATTCTGATAGATAAACAGCATTTTAGGATTGGTATTGGTAGTAGGTCATGGAAGGTGTATACTAACAGAAAATGATAATTTATAATGGGTTGTAATATATACTGAAATAATCTTCAGGTTTAGCTTCTTTTTTGCTTTATAATTAATCGAGTCTGTTTAAGATACCTGATCCAGATAATTTATTTATTTATTAACAGCAACAAGATTAACACCTACTCCACTAAAGTATCTTACAAATAATGTGGAAGCAAACCAAGTGCAATCTTAATTATAGATGTGACACAATATCAGTAGGTATTAAGCAAAAAATATCGCAAAACAATATCACACTGTGTAAAAATCCTGGATCGATAAAATTAGTAGTAAAATATATAAAATAATTATTCTAAAATTTAAAGACATAACATTAAAATTATATCATTATATTATTATAAATTTATATTATAAAAAACAAAATTGAATTTAATAAACATTTACA